AACAGGAAGCATGCTTACACAAGATTAGAACTCAAAATAATCATGATAATAGTTTAAATTTAAGCTTCTAAGTCCTGTATTTCTGAAGGAAAAATACAAAATGAAGAACAATTGCAGAACTTAAGAAAAAAAAAAAAAAACTCTGGGGAACACAATGGATCATTAACTGATTATGAATCCATGTGTACAGCTTTCAAAAAAAGGAAGAAAAGAAAAAGGGGGGAGAAATGGGGGGGGGGGGGGGGAGGGGGGAGACCTGAGATGTACTGTAAGAGAGCCGTATATGACAGAAGGTAATTATTTTGCTCTATTTGGCACTAGATCATCATCAGGAATAGTTTACCATTTAGACACTGTACTTAAGACATACAGGCAAAATGAAAGAGTCTAGAAGACAGTAATAAAAATACGTTTAGAAAATATAATCAGAGAGACAAAAAAAATGGCTTGAGCCATTGAGGATTGTGTGTGTGAAATGCTGCTGTGAAAAGTTTTTGCAGCTACAAACAATTAGTTTTCTCCATGCTCTGTGGAGGTTATGGCAAGAGGTATTCATTTTGAAGCAATAGTGATTCTGTTTCTGGTTTTGCATTGCAGAGATTCTTGTAGAGCACTGGAATAGGTTATTCACCCATAATGCACCTGTAGGATCACCTTCTCCATAGATTTGTGAGAACGGATCAGATCAAATTGTTATAAGAGCCCAGATACTCGGCTTCTGTCCCTGAGAAGGCAGGGGGATTCAGCAGTGATATTGAGTCCCTTCTGTGTTCTTTATAAAGTGGATTGGACCCAAATTCAAATACTTATTTGCAATCAAAAAATCTATTCATTCATTTATTAATCATATGCCAGTAATTTTCAAGGTTTTATTTATGCTTTTCCACTGATACATACTAATAGAATAGGTGTGGCCAAGATGTACATTACTTGAATTTGTGTAGATGTTATAGGGTAATATCAGATTTCTGTTATATGCATATGCTCATGCAATGGGGAAGTGACTTAATTCTAAAAGCAGAAGAGAGGTAAAAACCCAATACATATCTTGTAGTGGGGGGAAGGTGGAAAGCAAGTTTTGCCAGTCATCTTCCACTGCCAGGAAAATCGCTGCTCAACTTCTGCAACTTTTTCCCTTTGTGTAGCAGACTCCTGGATGTGAAGACTTAGTAAAACCAGGAGATGGCACAAGAGACCCTTGCAACCTCTTTTTTTTTTTTTTCTTTTTTTTTGTGTGTGTGTGTATGTGCTGCACTATGAGCAAAGGTACTGTGAAAAATGATTGGCCTTCCAGATATCTGTAAAAACTGCCCATTAGAAATATGCAAACATGAAACAGCAGAAGTGCATATGTGCAATATGTATGTGCAATATATTTCAGCTGTTCCCTTTAATCTTATAGAAAAATACATACATACCCAATTTCATAATTTTAAATCTTAAAAGTTACATTCCTTTGATTTCCTAATGCACTCATTTGTGTGAAACCTATCAAAGAAAGTACACTGCTTTGCTTGGAGGAAACACAGGCACTGAATCACATATTACAGGTGTAGTGCTGAGCATCCTTTCTAACTACATTCCTGCTATCACTCAGCATATCCTAGCTTATCTCTAATTAATAAGTTGAGAGAGAAGGTCAGGACATGTCTGTGCTCATCTGTTTTGGGGTGCAGTGAAGGTAGGTGGATGGGGTCAATTGTTCTGCTGCTACAGTTAATTCCTGTCTACTCTGGGAAATAAAGAAATTTTTAAGGCCCTTTTTCATGCTGTTTCCTTTAAAATAATAGTTTAAAAATTCTAATTGCTAGTCTAGACAGAATTAAACCAACTCCATACTTAGGAGTAATTTTATTTGACAAGTGCCCATAAAGATGTCTCTCAATTACGGTATGAGACAGTGACTACAGAAGACGGATTTGTATGCCTGCAACTTGACCGGTTTTCCACTGTAATAGTTTGTATAATAAGAATTAAAAAATAAAATACAATCTGCTGCTTGTAACCCTGCCATCTCTAACAACAGGAGTATGTGTTTTAAATATAGTCCCAATTCATATCTACTTTGAATTCTTTTTTTTAATATGGTTAATTTGGGATAAGAAATTGTTAAGAATAACCCGTATAAGCGTGTTCTTTCTGCAGAATATATGTGTGTTAAAACATTTCACTGACTCTTAGCTGCTGGTAACAGCCTTATGTAAGGGTCCTTGGGAGCTCCTGGCATTTTGAGTGCTGTGTTGATTTAGATCAGTTTCAAGCATGATCAGTCATTTGATTTTCATCTAGCATTGTCACTCTGTTTATTCCAGGCCCTCCTGGTTTTTCTGCACATATGGTCTTTTCCTTTGTCACAGAAAAATAGCTCTTATTCTGTCAGGGAGAAAAGTTTATAATAATTGATGATAAAGAGGTTGGTTAGACACCACTTGTAATGCTTTTAAGTCCTAAAGACTGATTTCTCAGAAATTGCAATGGTTGGATAACCATGCCAGAACAAAGACCACATAAATGGTACAGCAGATGCCAGCAGCCCTTGCTTCATTGGGCATCTCTTTGTAGGAATTTTGCTTGTCCACAGACAAACACACAGCTGAATCTCACATGTCCTTAGCTGCCTTTAAAAAAAAAAAAAAAAAAAAAGTTAATTGCATCACCACCCAGCTACTCCCAAGGACTCACTCTACTTAAGTGCCACAGGACTCTCCTTTGTTACAAGAAAGGGTCACCTGCTGTTACAAAACAGTCCCTTTGGTCTTCTGTACCTTCGCTGCAGCAAGGCAAACTACTGGCAGTTTTCCCTTTACCTGTGACAAACCAAAGGAACTTGGAAGCCCTCAGTTATTTTCTCTTCAGTTCCTTCAGAGCTCCAATGGAAAGGGATGTCTCAGAGCACAATCCTGCAGGTTTCTGAGCTGGCTCACTCTAGGGCAGGGTTGGCCTTTGGACTGGAAGATATGGAGCAGTAATTAGTTCTTGAAGACTGGGCTGCTGTCCCAAAATATCTGTTATCAACTGCCTAGTAGGCATCCAGGCAGGACTAGCAGAACCTGCAGAACCTCCTCAGCCTGTGACCAATGTTGTGCAAACACAGTTCTGCAGAGCTGGCTTTCATAAATACTGTTATCTTGATCCCAGCCAAAAAACTATAAAGTCACTTTTGGCTTCTTTTACTGCAGCTTCTACTCACAAGTATAGGGACTTGTGTCAAGTGACAAATTTCTACTCCTTTTAATTCCCCTGAGTGCTAAAATGCTCCCTTCTACATCATCAGGTTACAGATTATCCTTAGACTTTTTATTGCCTTGAGGATGCTGCTGGTCCTTATTTTCATGGTGAAGGTGCTGACTCCCCAAAGAGAGCAACTGTGTAGTGTACAAACATCTGTATAACTTATTGTTTTTGGCAAAAGGATCTTAAGAGTTCTGCTAGTGGGAGCCATGTTGGTGTGTCTGAACTCTTTGTCTCTAACTTCTTGTAGCAGCAGAGCAGAATAGGAAGGTCCTATCCCTTCCTGCTTCACTCCCTGCAAAAGCCCAGGGACTTTAGTATGAGCAGGTTTTTTTCCCATTGGCAACATCACTTTATTTTAAAGATGATATTTCTGTATCAAAGTTTAGCAGGCGATTTTTCAAACAACCACCAAATGAATAATACATAGAAACAGAAAGAGGCATCTTAAGAAATGTAGATAAAATTAAGCTAGCAGCTGATAAATATTGCAGCAGTCATTACATCCAGAAGTCATCTGCCATCTATCCAGGATACTTATACATTCTATGTGTAATGGAAATGACATTTGATATAACCTTGCCACAACATGATCAGTTTGTGTCTCAGCAAGCTCAGCATTTGACACCATCTTTTGGCTGTGACATTTGCCTCAATAAAGTGCAATTAATGAACCAGCAGTGTGTAAAGATGTAATTTGTAGCTCAGATGGTGAAAATGTCTTAAAATCTGTAACGAAACTGTGTAACAGATGTATCAGTGGATGCTAAAACCTGAGATCTATTTTCTAGAACACTGTCGTATGTCGTATATTCTTTTTTCCCATCTAACAGCTTGCTGGTGCATTCATTCATTGATAGAATATAAATCTGGTAAAAATAAAGCCATACAGGTAGACTATTTTATACTTATATATTTTTATACTTGTATATAAACATAAGTATGTTTGTACTATATATATAAATTATATAAGTACGATGCTTATATTTATACTCATGTATATATAATATTATGTAGGGACTAGGGATGGAAATATCCTGGGCACAAGGGATATATTTATCTCCTTGGGATGGAATTTCATCCCATCTGTGTCACAGAAAGCTGTTAAAGTAGTCAGAGTTAAAATAAGAAAGCTTGTAGAAAAATAGCACTTTCTTTTTCTAACATCCTGGAGAAAGGCATTTTGCCTTTGGTTGCAAGGGAGGCTTGGCAGGTTTCTCTGGGCAGGCAATGGCACTATTATTGCCAGATGTGACTGGAGAGGCTGCTTCCAGGTCACATGTTAAATGCAGCTAACTCAAGGGACTTGTCACTTGATTAACAAAGCATATTCCTGTATGATTCCTCTCCATCTATCTCCTTCCTGCCTAGTCAGATCTATGAAATATGTTGGCATCAGAATTGGACAATAAGAAAAATTTTGATTTTAAAATATTTCCTCAAGTTTATGGTGGGGAATAGTCTTCATGTTTATCTACTACAAAGGATAGTTAAGAACCTCTACTTAGAATATTGGAGAGAGGGAGAGGAGGTTGTATAAAATAGTGGAAAGTTACAATCAATCTTGTACAGTTTGGTCAAGTAAATTTCTAATTTTTCCAATGTTAATGAGAAAATACTTGGGAAGAATCATTGGATGAGTTTTCTAGTCAGATATCTATCAAAGCCTTTCATGCAATTGGGGAAAAAATAAAAAAAAAAAAAGAAAAATAAAAAAAAAAACACTTCTGCAGGGCCTTGTCCATGCTAGAGACATTTTTTGTTTTTGTGTGTGTGTGTGTGGTTTTTTTTTCTGTATGTAACAGATGTACAGGAGGTGTTAATGCTTGAACTTTTGTTAGACATTCTAACACCAGTTCCTTTAGTTTTCTCCAGGAAGCTCGTTCAGTGGGCTCAGACTAACACTGTAGTGTAAGCTGTAATGTTCTTCCCTATCTACGTAGGCCAGACACAGGGGCTCCACAGGGACTGTGGTGTCTGGTTGTGGTAGCACCCACAAGTTCTAGATTGGTTATTAGCCACTTTTAAATCAAGATGACTATTAGCATTTTTGTTGGTCAGAGAGAGAGTTAAATTCTTGAACAGTGTCATCACTGGTGGAGTAGAGGAGGACTCAGAATATTCCATGAGAACGAACAAGCAAGAGGAGAGAGAGAGCTTAGAAAGGGCTCACAGGTCAAACTTGAAAATTGTTCAAGAAAGCAATTTGCTAGTAAGCAGAAAATGGTAGGATTTTCTGATGCCTGATTATACCAACTATATTTTGAGTGAACAGGAGGTTGAAATGTAGGTTTTAGGAAACAAAACCTACATCCATTTTCAGATGGAGGGGGTTTACGTAAAATTTGTGTTGTATTGATACAAAGATCAGACATGCAGTCATGACTTCTGGAGGTGGAATGATGTCAGGCAAGGGTGCAATAGGAGTTATCAATGGTGCAGTTGTGCTGGCTTAAGTTGTGCGTGCACTCAGTATTTGCCCAGGAGGGGAGGATGGAAAGGGAAGGCAATTTGCTGTCAGTAAAGCACCACAACCCTTTTGTCAGTATACCACAGAAGCACTCCTGCAGCAGCCAAGTATTCCCGATATAAATCCAAAGATAGATGGGAACACTTTTGAGAGGCGTACATAAGGTGATAAGAGGAAAAACATGGAGAATAAGATAGCAGAGAAACCTGCGTGGCCTGTACAGCTGCAAAGATCTGGGAAGGAAGATACTGATGTGAATTCTGTAACCTCAGCAGAAAGTTAATTCTAATATAGTAATTGTCTTTTCCTGACTCTTTAGTCCAGCAAACACACTTTTGGTACAACCCAATGGCCTTGACATTCACTTTTTAATTTTTTTTTTCTGGTTCACTACTTTCTCCTCCTGCCCCCTGTCTCTCCCTGTGCCTGGTGCTTATAAGAGAGAATTCCCAGGAGAATGCAGCGTCTGCCCCAGGCTGTCCCGGGAGTGCAAGGCTCAGTCCAGAGAGGAGCAGGCTCACTTTAGCCCGTGGATGCTGCTTGAAAAGGAATTAAAAGAGTCAGCTCTCGAGGAAGGGGGTCGGGAGAAGCAGCACCCTCTCTGCCCTCAGCGGCCGGGGGGGCCGGTCCCTGCGCGCTCCCCCGGGGGTGCATTCCCCAGCGCCGTTTAAGGCCGCTCAGCGCCATAAATGCCATTTGCATCGGGATAGGATGTAACAAGAGCTGTAAATCACTGACGGCGGAGGGAGCTCCTCCGGGGGCAGACACAGCGGAGCCGAGCCTCCTCGAGCCGTGGCAACGTGTGAACGGTATCTTCTGTCGGGGGGCAGGACCGATGGCAATTAGATGATACTTATCTGGCTCTTTGATGTGTATTTACACAAACAACGTTTTCCTGGGGGGCTTGCGGTATAAAGCAGTCGTGCTCTCCGGCAGCCTCCTTCCCGGCAGCCCCGAAACAAGGCAGGATGACCAAGGCCCCGTTCTCCGTGGAGTGGCTGTCCCAGAGCAGCCAGGCCCCCAAGAGCCCCACACAGGGCACCCCACGCCGAGCACCCTCCTTGGCCGCGGGCCGCCAGTCTTCCTCGGGCTCCAGCCCCGGCCTGAGCGAGGGGAGCAAGGAGAAAAGCTCCGGGAAAGGCGGCAGGAGCAGGGAGCGCTTGGCAGCACCCCCGGCTGCAGGTAACCGCTGCCGTCGGGGCTTCTGCGCTGGGTGGGGAGGAACGGCCCCCCTTTCGGGTCCTGGGCCTGGCTGACCCCTTTCTCCCTCTCCCCCGTCCCCAGGAGCAGGCGAGCGGCCGCGGACAGCGGGGCGGCCCCAGCTGGAGGGGGGTCCCGAGAGCCCCGAAGAGGCGGCGGGCAGGGGGGGCCGGCGGCTGCGGACGGCGTTCAGCGCCGAGCAGATCGGCACCCTGGAGAGCTCCTTCCAGCGGCACCGCTACCTGGGCGCCGCCGAGCGCCGCAAGCTGGCGGGCAGGATGCGGCTCTCCGAGGTGCAGGTAAGCACGGCAGGGGCGATGCCGCGGGCTGAGGGCAGCGGCTCTCGGGGTGGGTGGGTGCCGCCGACACCTCACCTCTCTACTTCACCCTTTCCCCTTGCCCTCAGATCAAGACCTGGTTTCAGAACCGCCGGATGAAGCTCAAGAGGCAGCTGCAGGAGCTGAGGCCGGAGGCTTTCTGCGGCGCCCCCCTGCCCTACGGACCCCAGAGCGGCGTGGTGTCCTTGCCGCTCACCTGCACGGCCCCGCCGCCAGCTCTGCCCCGGCAAGAGGCTGCCTCAGGGGGCTTCGCTTTAGCAGCGCTGCCGGCACCCACCCTGGACCTCAGCAGCGCCTGCAGAGCACAGCCCGTCTGCTTCTGGGCAGCGCCCTGCTTTGTAGGTTATAGGGATCCCAGAGCCTTCTTGCTGGGTGTCTGACCCGCCGGTACGGACAGTGACTAAGGAGGATTTGCACTAACGATAGCTCTCTGGGCTGCCGCTGCCTGTAACTGCCTGCTGGACTTACGATGCAGCTCTGAGCCAGGTATAGAGACATGCTGGACAATCTGGATCATCGACTTCAGACCCACCGAATACAAACATAGTGGGCAAATACTAGTATAAATGTAATCTCTTCACAAACATAAACACTTTGTAGCTTTCTTCTGAATCCATTACACGGATTGCAGAACTATTTATCCTGCCCTAAAAGAGAGCTCCTCCCCATTAAGGAAGTACAGACTCCTTATTCTCTAGATCTGTTTCAGCCCTTGTAGGGAATCCGAATTATCTTGCATGGGCTCAAGCTTACAATTAACTGAGGGTAAATGCAAAAAGTGCGAATTTCCCTCTGTCCCCTAAAGCAGGTATCCAGTCTCTCTGCTGTATCCCATGTGGCACTTTCTGTGATGGGGCTGTGATTTTAACCAGATATGTGGATGCATCTGGAACTAGCTACTAGTAGTTAATACTGGGCCTTTTATGAAATTGTGTTGGAGTTTTTTAAATAACAAAAAAATATGATTATTAAGATGTAAAAAGTTTACTTTTAAGTAAATGTGAAAATATTTTATCACTCTTACATGGATGGCCTCAGTAGATTAAGTAGATTGAGAGCCTTTTGCCTAAATAGATCTTGGAAAGGATCTGGACTTGCAACTTCTTATCTGTTGTAGGCTCCTAGCAAAAGAGTAATTTCAGCATCTCTTGTGCTCCTAATGGGGTTTGAGGATGGTTATCAAAAGAAATGCAATATTCCAAAGCTATTTTTCCCTAAGTGGCAGTGAAGTTTGTTACTCTAGTGCTATGCACTTTTTATTTGAGTAATGCTCTAGAAAACATGATCAAAATGGCTGGATTTCAGGCTGGAGAAAGGGCTCTGTTGAATGATCTTTGGCTGATGTAAGTTGTCATAAATCTTTCAAAGTCAATTGTGAACTAACATGAAAAGAGCAATAAAAATTTCCATCACTTTAGAGTTGATTTCTGGGGTTATTAGAAGATTTCCGGGGTACTTGTAATCGGGGCTCGTATAATGAATGGTCTGAAGGTTCTGTCAGTCATCCTTAAACACACCTGTTTTCTTTTTTTATACAGGGGCCACTCAATCACTTGAGTACACTTGCCTGGTAAAGAGCAATATTATGTGCCTCTGAAGGCTGTTGCCTTTGATTTCTGAATAGCTCCCACATTTGGAAAACTCCTTAACTATTATTTAATCCATGCTGCAATTGTCTACACTTTTGAGATTACTATTTGCTTACAATTGCACTATTAATGTGGCTTTAATGCAAGACTTCCAGAAAACTAAAAATTTTTCAGAAACTAATAAGTTTCAAAGTGCCATAAATCTTCCTGAGACTTTCTTTTTCAGGAAGATATTGGAGTTAGGGATTAAGGAAATTATTACTAAACAGTTATACTAATTCAAAGAAGGAAAGAAAAAAAAAAAAAAAAAAAAAAGATCCGAAATTCTCTTTCTATCTCTCATGTCATTACGTAATTGAAATGCCTCCAAAAAGCTGTGCACTGCTGAATATTTTCTCTGCTCTAAAGCGGTGGCATTTTAAGGAGAGCAAAACAATAAATACACAAGTTACCTGGAAAAAAATACCTAAGACTTTTGAAGTGGGCAGTGGTATAGGGGTTAAGAGGGATGTTCCTCTCATTTTGTACAGCACAGCAGGACCTCACCCCTTCTCTAGATGCCCACCCCGTTCAAAGCAGTCTTAACAGCTCTGCGAGGCCAGGCGGGGGGGGGGGTGTGCACAACGAGCCGAGAGGCCGGCCGGACCCCGGACCGAAATGGGGGGAGGAGACGGGGGCGATACAACCGCAGCTGTGCCTGGGGGAAGCGAGCGGGATATGAAAGGTCTCGGGGCGAGCAACGCCGAGCAGCTGGGCCGGGCTGGGAGATGGGATGGGATGGGATCACAGACCCAGCTCTGCACCTGCCTGCAGCCGAGAATGGCTCTGGCGGTCACTTTCCCCTCCGTGCAAAAAGCTAGGGGCTGTCTCCTTGCTAGGGGCTCGGACTGGTCAGCGGGGCTGGCTTGTGTGTATGAGCTGCTCAGCCACCGGCGAGGGAGACGCCGGGCTCTGTTTGAAAAGGTGCTAATGATCACTTAGCGTAATGACTCCTTCGCCATATGTACACTTAGCAAGCACGCGAAATGTCTTGCCACTGATTTTGGCAGCCCCAGCTTACAAATATTGACCCCGTTCCCCGACAGCTGCTCGAGTAAACGCGAGAGGTGATGCTCATTTGAGTCCCTAAAGTTAGCAGATTCATTCATGATAATACCTCTATTATCCGCAAAAATAGGCTTTCTCTAGAAGTTATCAACTACATTCCAGTGGTCTAAAATACTATGTTATGAAATAATTTCATTTTGACTAAAGCGGCACAATCCTACTAAAACACGGTTTCAAGGTTTTCCTTTGATCTGGCAGAAAAAAAAAAAAAAAAAAAAAAAATGAAAAGAAGGTATCCTTTCATGTTTTATTCGGGCACGTCTGAATTTCCCAGCCGCTGCGTTTTACCCCCGGCACCAAGGGACGTGTGCCAGAGCCAGAAGCAGGACCCCCGCACAGGCTGCGCCCCCCGGGGCTGGCTTCGGTTCCCGGGTCCTGCACATAAACTGGGTTTCTCCTTCATCATTTCTAACATCCCCATTCTTGTCGTTAATCGCATCGCAGCCACCATCAGAGGAGGAATGCTCCCCGGCAGGACAAAGTGCTGTCTGCAAGACAAACGGACCAGCCGAGCCGATTAGCTAGGGAGGAGCAGCCTAATGCTTGCCACCGGCTCTCGAGGAAGGGGCTGTAAAACCTGGAAACTGGGCTCCCTGGGGAGGAAAAGGGGGCGGGAGTAGAAAATGTCCGGAGCACCGACTTCAAAGCCGCCCTCCCCTGCAGCGTGTGCACACAGGAGGTGAGCCGTGATTGAATTAGCACCGCGGTAATGTCAGGGAGCCGTCTGCAGCCCGTGCTCGTTAACGCCTGCCCCACTTTGGGGGGAGCACCCAACAGGGGACTGGGAACAGGGCCGGGGGGATCTGCCTGAAGCTCCCAGACACGGTGGAGCCACTCCAGGCACCTGTTTGCAAACCAGGTGAAGTTATTCGGCGTTGGGTGCTAATCGGGAGAGATCTCGCACTGCCAGGCCATTACATCTAATTGCGGCCCATTATCTCTTTCTTTGATACGCAATTAGATGCCAATTAACTTGATAAATCCCACTGAAGTGGATGGGGAAGAGAGAAAGAGAAGGATTGTTTTGGTCCTAGTTTATCCCTTGTGCAGACTTCACTTCTTTTCCTTGATAGGTGTCCCTTAAATTCCTAACCTCGACTTAATGTTATCTTGTAATGGTATTTATTGGGAACTAACCCTGGTAGCGCTTTGGTATTCAGGTAGGTGAAGTGCTTTAATTCTTGTTTCAACTCTTAGTTACTATTCATGGGCAATTCTGAATAACTGCGGAGGTGTCACAAGTCCCCAGGCAATGCGGAGATGGTGTGCATGGGAATTCAAGCACTACTCCGGTTTCATCTAACTTGCATTTACCTTATCTAGGCGCTTTGTCCATTAGTTGCGCAAAGAATTGAATGAGATTTCCTTGATAAATCGCTTTTATTGCAAAGCGTGTGTTTGCTCCCCCAGTGGCTGAATGGGCGTGCAGCGTGTGAGCCAGGCGCAGCACGGCCGGGTGAGTCAGTGGCGTTTGCTATTTTGCTATTTATTGGGTGTCAGCCCGCATTGTTCCCGTGGGCAAAGGAGCGACTGGGTGATGGCCCTGTTAGTGTTCACGGGTACTTCAAACAGAACGCATCCATTCCAAAACAATCGATCTCGCTGAGGCCTAATTGACTATCTAATAGCACCTATCAGAACATCAAAAGACGCGCTGAATAACCTAGTTAGCATTTCCAAAGGGGAGCAGTGAAGGCTACAAACACCGATCAATTGTCTCACCGGGCAGGGCAGAACCCCCCGCACCGCCAGGGTTGTCCTGTGGCCCCAGCTGAAGCACAGTATCTGGTCTTCCCGTGTTTCCAGCCATATCACCCTCCTTCCTTTCAGTAAATTGCCTTACTTGCCTCTAAAGGGCGAACACGCTGCCCCTGACTCTCCTAGAGAATTGCTGCCTATTTATGTAGCTAAATGCTAGTAGAAGGAAAGCTTGGAATCCGAAAACTTGCCCAATTATGCTACAAAACATCTTGTTTGAAAGGGATTGCTTTTATATTTTCCAGTTTCTGGCCATTTTTTTCTTATGCTTTCCCACAAAATCAGGTGGGACAGTATGTTGATGGACTTAGTATGCCAGCACCTTTCTTAGAGAATACAAATAAATACTTCTGCTTCTAATAAGGTGTGAGCTTCTAGTATCTGGTGCAGGAAAAGTGCCAGTGGTATATTTTTGATCATGGATATAACTTCAGCATATCAAGTGACACAAAAGGATTGGGTGAAAGAAAATGTCGCCTATAAGCACCATATTTTGGGGAGGAGATGGTGGTGGTGTTAACTGGCTGCAGAGGACTCTACCCTCCTAGGACCATCAAAGTTTTTGAGTTTCTCAAGTTGCCACCTCTTCTGATGGGAGCTGCAACACCTCCACCACTTTCCCATCTGTTCAGAGGTTTGTGCTCCGCAGATGTATCTGTGGGAGAAAGGAGGGGGATGCTGGAGATTTAAACATCTCATTTAATAGGAAATTCAGTTTAAAAACAAAAGTTGCAATTCTCATGGACTTTCAGCAAACAGTGGAAAAAGTCAGCTACTTCCCTGCATTCACAGTCAAATGACAAGAGAAACTGCAGCAGCCACAGTTTCTGTAAGATGCATAATGTGTAAATGCAAAGGCCAGCACTGGTCTCTGGGTATAGCATTGAATAGCTGTCTCATTCGTGGTTTAGTTTTGGCATCAGGGATGAAGCGTTCCTCCCTAGATAATATGTCCTTGGACATTATTGTGTGCCCTAGTGGGGGTGATGTTGGGCACAGGGGTCCCAGGACTGCCCAGCCTGGCAGAGACCTTATCATGCTGGTGGGGAGCACCCCTTGAGGGGAGCATGCTGCTGGCTGGACAGGGGTGTGCTCAGCTCAGGAGCTGCTGCATCCCCGTGGCTTCCAGGTACTGCTTCCAGACTTGGCTTACATGAGGCAGTCAAGCTCTGCAGCTGCACACGATGTGTTACTAGCAACAACGTTTAGTGAGTGGATATGTATATAGTGGAGCCTGAGCTTCTCTGCTGTGGTTTGTCCATGTGCAGGCCGATTCAGAAATGGCTGCTCTGAAAAAAGGCTGAGATAATAAGGTCAATGTTTCATTTGTTTGTAAAAAGAAACACGCAAATGGACTTGTTCAGGAATAGTTTATAAACCTGGAAATTATTAAAATTAAGGTACAGATGCTGAACTCTTTTGGGGAGCTTTGGATCAGTGAAGCAGAGACTCACCTGTCTAACTGATGTGCCTAGGAGGTGCAGTGGGGTTTAAACACCCCTTGGAACAGCAATGTTGGATCAGTGGCACTTGGAGGTATGTGTTTCTGTGCCAGGGACAGAGCCTGATCTATGACTCAGTGTTCAACTGCTTGGGCTTTTGCACTGGCTTAAGCAAGTCAGTCAAAATGTGTCTCTGTGCCAAAGGTAACTCAACATTCATGGGTGGCTGACCCCAGAGGAAAAAAAAGCAATCTTGCTGCCAGGGCTGTGCCGCAACAAGTAGAATCTCCCCCAGCCCTGCCCTTAGGGGCTGATGTTGTAAGGGAAGCACAGGGGCAATCCAGTTCCTGGGCCCTGTGGGCTTGGTAAGGTGCCTGAATTGCTCCAGTGCCTGGGGTTTATCGCTCCCCTGGGGCCAGAGCCAAGTGAGGTGGCAGGGGCTAGAGGAGTCAATAATGTGCTGCTCATTCTGATGGCCATCCAGTTACGAGAATGCCTGAAAGGATGAAAAGGGGCAGCACAAACATGATTTTCTCCTCTGATCTCTCACTGTAAAATGGGGAGTTCTGGGGGGAGCTGGTTTGGTTAGGGTGTGTGACTTATATATGGACTTATTTTTATATAGAGAACTGACATCTGCTCTTACGTCTGGGAGCTGAGTGTTGCTCTGGTTGCAGAAAGACCCAGGATCCTGTTCCATTCCACCCCTGGTGCTCACTGCTTTCAGCTGTGCATCCCACTGGGAACCCCAAAGAGCTCGGAGGAAACTGAGGTCCTGCCAGTACTTTTGCCCAGGTACACAGGTGGTGACCACTTCCCCTGGTCTGATCCCAGTATCTCTGCTGCCAGTCGGGTCATGGTCAGTGTGGTCTTTTTGAGCGACATGGGTGAAAACTGGACATGAGACAGGACTGGCTGAGCTGTGGGGACACTGCTTTCCCCAGCCGGGCCTTTCGTTTCACCGAGGGGAAAGCTTGGATGGGGATGGAGGGACTTCGCGGTGTCCCTGTGTTACAAAGGCATTACCCCCCTTGGCTAGCAACGTGTGGATTGGGGACAGCTCGAGGCTGATGAGGTGCGAGCTTCACTGTTCACTGGGTGCTTTGATCGAGAAAGCCCATGGGAGATCTGGGACATTTTCTGGCTAGACAGGTGGCGCCAAGTTCAAGCTGAGAAGGCCCGCGGCCCTGCTGATCCTATAGCCCAGGTGAGGATTCAGCCCTGGGGATAGGGACTTCTGGTCAGCGGCTCCCCACAGCTTTTCACAGGGTGCCCGGCCTCCACGGCTCCCCCAGGGTGACTTTCCTGACAGTGGGGCTGCTGGCCCATGGGGAGTTGCGGTAGCCCCCGGCTCACCGGCGCTGGGCTCGCCCTGGGCCCCGACGGTGCGGGCCGGGCTATCTTGTGACTGGCTTCGGGTACCACCGCGCCATGCAGGACCCCGCGGCTGGAAAAGGGCTAAAACCTGCTGTTACCGACACCTTCAGTATCTTTAAACGCCTCTTCGCGGGGCTGGGCCTGCCCGTGCCCTGCCCTCCGGGGGAGAGGGGCAGGTTTGCACTTCAAGGGGTCTCCCCGGCCCCCCCAGACAAGCTGGAGCCAGGGGTTTGCAGACATTTGCCAGACGTGTGAACTTTCCTCCTCGCTGGCAGGCAGCTGTTATCTCTACTCGATTCCCACTTTGATGTGGGTTCACACTTGCAAACGAGCCCGCCCGGGACCGGAACGTCCATATAAGAGCAGGCCGAGCCCGGCGGCCCCCCAGCCCCTCTCCACCATGAGCCAGACCGAGCTTCCTTTGGCAGAGACCAAGCCCCACGGGGTCAGGCCCCACATTTGCTGCGCGCCCCCTCCCTGCGCCCCGACCTCGCTGGGCAGCAGCCCCCTCCTGGCCCGAGCCGAGCCCCGACGGGAGGGACCGCGGCCGAGCCAGGCCGCAGACAGCGAGCCCTGCGCGGCGGAGCGGGGCGCAGACAGCCCCCGGGAGCCCAACGACCCCTGCCCGTCGGAGGCAGGTGGGTGAGGGAGGTCAGAAGCTGGGAGCAGGGGGGGCATGGGTGGATTGTGGGGACGGGACCTCAGCTCCCATCGCTGCCACGGCTCGGCAAGGCGGGGGACTGCGGTGTGGGGACAGAAGCCTCACCGCCGCCTTCTTTCTCCCTCCCCGGCAGTCCCCGACGGCGGCTGGCTGAGCGCCGACGAGTCCTCGGGCTACGAGAGTGAGAGCGCGGGTGCGGAGCGCAGCAGCGGGGCGGCGGCACCGGGCGCGACCCGCGGACGGCAGCGGAGGGCGAGGACGGCCTTCACCGCGGAGCAGGTCTGCCGGCTGGAGAAGACCTTCCAGCGTCAGAAGTACCTGGGGGCCTCGGAGCGGAGAAAGCTGGCGGCTGCCCTGCAGCTCTCAGAGATCCAGGTGGGTGCCGGGTCCTCCCCCGCCCCATCGGGCAGCGCTCGCAGCAGATCCACCTAGGGATCTTCAGCTGGGTGTGGCCGTGTGGGGCTTCTCGGCAAGGTAAACAGCCCGGTCTCAGAGCACAGCCATCGGGGTGTTATGTACGTTCTTAAAGCCCCGAAGTGATTCACCTGAAACTGCTCGACACGGTTGTGCCCCCATCCAGTGCTGTGCCCTCAGTTAACAAGGACATGAGTTCAACCCCATCAATTAACGCAAAGCAAATATTGCAAAGGCCCACGAGCTACAGTTGTTTGTAGTTTTTTGTTTGTTTGTTTGTTTTTAAGCAAGGTTACTGATCTGTCTCTTGCACCCCGTGCCTCTTTCCTTATGTTACTTAGATCAAGACCTGGTTTCAGAACCGGAGGATGAAACTGAAGAGGCAAATCCAGGACCAGCAGCACAGCCTTGTGTACTCCTGCTCCACTCTACAGCTACCCACTGGGAACCCCACCAGCCCTCCTTCATGATGAGGGCTTTCCACTGTCTTTCCACTATCCCTTTGCTTCACAGCACCAGAGACTCCTGCCCCTTACCCCGGTGCCGGCTGTGCAGTTCAGCTTATCCTTTCCCAGATACGATGCACTTGCAAAGCACCTACCGCTTTATAGCAAATGAGCTGCCGTACTACCATCAGCACTGGCTTCCTCCTCATCCTTCTTTCCACCCAGTTATTCAGAATAAAATGGACAAGAAATGCCATCCTGTATATGCATTATAGTGAGAAAAAAATGGGGAAGGCAAAGGGGAAAATTAATGTATGCTGTAATTATGTTCTGCTCAGAATTTCTTGTCTAACTTGGAATCATATGTTTATTATTTTCTAAGTTAAATGTGAAGAGTAATAATTTTATATTTGTACTGAATTGTATTAAAATTTATTGGATTTGGTCCCACTCGGTCATTTTTGATTTGATATCCCATCTTTGCAAAAGACCTATTTTTTAAATGCAGGTAGTCTACCATCTTTTGATTTCTAGATATGCTGAAGGGTTAAGCACTGTTGAAATGAATAATTATGCTACAGCCATGATGCACTTGCAGTTTCTGTGCCTACAGCTTTTTTGTTTTGTTTTGTGCCTGCAGCTGTTTTGTTTTGTTCCTTTCAGGAACGGGAGGGAGAAAAACCAAAAACCATGGCAAAAAACTCAAAAACTTGCAATTGTCAAATTTCTCACGGTGTAGGATAAACTTATTAAGTTTAGTCTGCAATTGAATGTTAAGAAACTGGTTATGATTGAACATCCCAAGTTCTCATATATATAAAACCTAGTGTTACATGTGCAAACTTTTTAAAGGTTGCATTTGTACACTGCACTTTCATGTAATGGGGAAAAATTCAGATATTTTATGTATATCACCTGACTTTCCTACACTGATGCTGAGAGGTATATTCTGAGTATTGCGTATTTGGGAGCTTGGACCTTGCCAGTTGTATTGTACTGTGCATTTGGTTAAGTGCACCCTTTGAAGCACACCACAGGAGGAAGATGTAGGTGAGTTTCTCTTCTGAATATTAATTTATTGCTTTGCACTTCGACTCCATTTTCCACATGGGAACTTCAATTGTGTTAATCACAAATGGTAATTAAACCTATGTGTCTTTAAACAGTGATTAAATAGTTCAAATCTTCACTGCAGAATTTTAAAGTGTTAGAATTACCAAAACCAGTATCTTGTAAAAGATTTAAGAGCAAATTAGTGCTCTGTTAACAGCCCTATTATCTCAATGAGATTTTAATCTGCAAATTTGGCCTTTGATTCACCACTAAATGTTCATTGTAATTGCATATTGAACTTTATAAAAATAATAATTACTTTTTACTTAACAAAAACAAAAAAAAGTAAATTGATCCTTTTAGGACAAGCAGCATTTAAAGGAAACATCTTTGGTTTTTACTCTAACAATCCTTAAACTTTTTTTTCCTCCCACGAGGAAAAAGGGGGTAGTTCTCAGGATCACAGTTTTCACTTCTCTTCCCAAAGGGGTTAGTTAGCACTCGATCTTTAGACTTTAATTACGTTTCTTTAATTCATTAAACGTTTTTTTAAATGCATTAACTAAGTTGATTGCTGCACTGTAGTCTAAATTTTCCCTTTTCAACTTCTAATCCAGTGAGCCTTGAGAGTTTCAATTTAATAGCCTGGGGGCTTCTCACCTGTGAAAGGATGATTTAGAAGGAGAAAAGTTTTGTCAAATTAAACTGCTCTAAACGTTAAGGTTAGACCAGCATAAGACCTGCAGACTTAACTCCAACGGGAACCAGGTTGGAGGCAAACTTCTTGGACATCGGGGAAGTGGTGTCTGGAATTACAAGGTGACAGTGCAGGAATTGTCAGGCTGTTTTCTCTGGTATACGCAGTCTGCATGCAAAGAGACTGAGAAATTAACACTTTGTCCCTTCAGCAACCTGTATCTCAGAGCAGAGTTTTGGTGTGGCAGGGAGAAGAAGTGTGGGTGTGTTGGGAGGGGGAATTCCTTTGAGTGTCTGCTGCCACCCCCTTACCTCATGGTTACGGTATGGGTGCTTCTTGACAGCAGGTAGAGAGATAACCCAGCTATGGAATGCTTGGAGATTAGTTTTTACATCAGAGGTTATAAGCAGAACAGGAGCTGTAAAACAAAAGGTAGGAATGTAGATGTAATTCTTTGTGGTCTCTTATACCACACTAAACGTTGTTGCTACCAAAAATTTGGAATTCATCTTCACTTCCCTCACTCCCAAAACTGAAAAGGGGGGGGGAAGAGGGGAAGGATTATCAAGACATTGCACAAGGTGTTTGTAGGCCATGTTTGTCAACTTTGCACAATCTCTACCTGAAGGTTTTTTTTGTTTGTTTGTTTGTTTGTTTTTTTTATAAAAATAAGTGCAAAGTAATTCATTTTTCTCCTGACAAGCAGCTAAGGATGGTCAGGGCAAGGGAGGAGATGTAATCACACCTGCTACAGTTTACACTCTAGCTTTAGGTTGATGCAAGGTCTGTTTCTCATTATTCTCTATATGCATGTTTTTTTTCACTCTCTATAAAGCTTGACATAGGATTTTTAGGAACAGTCCTGACAGCAAGCCTAACAGAAAGCTGCAGCTTAAACTTAGTGAGGCTGCCACATTACAGCTTAAGCTGTAGAAGTAACAACTGAAACAGTTTTCTTTGAGCATTCTCAGAGACCTGAATTTGTGTACAAGCATTTTTGTCAGACTGAAGTGAAATTGTTTTGACACTGATATGAGAAAAAAAAAATTGCCAATTATTACCTTTATGTATCCTTTAAATGTATAAATGGAATACTCACAGCCACATAAAGGGTAGACCATTTTAAGGAAGATGCAAAATATACACATAAAAGACAGTATTGGACAACTTGTTCAGTTTTGTTTATAGGGCCAACACGTTTTGTATCATTTTCATTTTAATGCATTTGCTGCAGTTTACAAGTCTTTCCTTAAAAAACTCACACTTCATTAGAACAGTCACATTCTCCATTTATTATTACATTATTTAATTACTGTGTAAACTTCAGTGTAATCAATGCTTCCAATTTTTCTTTGGAGAGCCCCAGCTGATTACAGGTTGTTTTCTGAAAACAAACTTTTGGATAGGAAAAGTTTCAATACAGTAGAGCAAAGACTGTAGGAATAAGGAAAGTTCCAATTCCTTTGCTTCCACTCTCAGTATTATTCCTCTAACATAGATTGTTTTCTCCTCGCAACATTAGAAAAAAAATCTAAGTCATCCATATATTTAGTATAACTAAGTATTCTTTAGATATTTGGCAGGTGTTAATGCAGATAGTCTTTGATATTTTTTAAAAGGAAGGAAGATATGGCTGGAATCTCAGTCTTTTATGGTCGTTGGTTAAAGTCATTGCTGGCACTGTGGTAGAATAAGAAGAGAGTCCTGGGCTGGGAGGCAACAGTAAGGCTGGGCTTGGCAGAAGTGGCTGAGCAGACTGAGCTGAAACCGTGGGTACCAGCAAGGCAGGGCTCGGCACCGCCGGGTGAAGGGAGACACCACGGGCAGCAGAGACACTGGCGTCCATCCCATGAGAAGGGCTGGGTGTGACATCTGGGTAACAGCAATAGGGCAGAAACAAACCCGAGCACCAGAGCTTCCACCCTGGCATCTTGCGTCTCGCGTTTAAACTTCATCCGGCGATTCTGAAACCAGGTTTTTATCTAGGGATAAGAAAGAAAGAGTCAAGAACAAATTCGGTCGTCTCGTTTTCCTGTTGGGTGATGCGCTCCGAGGCCATCCCCAGCGGCCGCTTAACGGGACGCCCGGTCCCGGTCCCGGTCCCCGCGGTGCGGCGCTCACCTGGCTCTGGGAGAGGTTGAGCAGGGCGGCCAGGCGCCGCTTCTCGCTGGCGCCGATGTAGCGCTGCTCGCGGAAACTCCGCTCCAGCTCCTGCAGCTGCGCCGCCGAGAACTTGGTGCGGGGCCGCCCAGGCACGGCAGCACCGCCTCCTCCCTCCTCCGCTTCGGGGCTGCTCCGCTCCGAGCCTCCGGGACCTGCGGGACGGGAGCGGGAGCGGCCCGTCAGGGGGGCGGGCACGCAGGCAGCGGCCGCACGTGCAGCTGCGCTTCCCCGACGGCCTCGCGCGCGGCGGCCGTTACCCCAGCGGCCGTTAGTCCCAACGGTCGTTACCCCAGCGGCCGTTAGCCCCAACGGTCGTTACCTCAGCGGCCGCTACCCCGGCAGTCCCAGCCCGTCGGGGCGGCCGGCACTCACCGAGGTCCCTTGGGCGGCTGTCCTGGGCGTCGCGGAGGTGGCGGTGAACGGTCCGGGCCCCGCCGCAGCTGCTCTGTGCCAGCCACTCCACCGAGAAGCGGCCCTTGTCCATGGGCGCCTCTGCCACCGCCCGCTCGCAGCCTGTTGGGGGGGGGGGGGGGTTCGACTCTGGGGGCAAATATTTAAAGCACCTTCCGCGGCGCGGTTTGAAAAGGCCGCGAAGCATCAAATGAGGCCGAGAACAAAGGAACCCCCCGGAGAGGCGCTTTAATCTGCCCTTTCAGGTGATTGTTACATCCGCCTAATCTCGGAGCGCGGCGGTTAGCGGAGCTCAAGGCTGCCTGACCTGGCGCCAAGTTCAGCGCTGAGTCACCCGCCGGCCACGTAGCCGCGGGTAATCGCATCACGGCCTGCGCTCTTTATTCTGCCCCGGCCGGCCTCTCCTCTCTCGGCCAGCCGTGATTTTCTATCTTTATTTCCCTGGTATGAAGGACAAGGATGCAGAAGGGGCTGGTAACAAAAAAGGACATAGAGAGGCCTCTTTTGGGAGAGCAAAACCCAGGTTTGGAGTTCTGGAGTGTTTGGTCCAAGGTCTGAAAGAATCCAATTGCCTCTCTACCAGCAAAGGAAAGTGACTCGAGGAATCACAGGATCACAGAATTTCTAGGTTGGAAGAGACCTCAAGATCATCGAGTCCAACTCGAGCTTAGAAATAAGTGAAAATTACGGACAACCACCGGTACCAATACCTTCCTATAAGCACCTATAAACACCATACTGTCCTTTGTGAGGACACGGTGCACAGATGTTGTTTGAACTAAGAGTATTTCACTACTGTCCGTGAGGCTGAGTGCTGCGATTAGGACATTCTTCTGCCTCTGAAGTGTGTGGTACAACTACTGGTGATATCCCTTGATGTAGTAGTTGCCTTCTTAAAGAACTTTCCGCGGAGAGAGGGTTGGAAACTAGATTACAGGGGCATTAGCACGGCAATTTGTTAGGTCATTTGTTAGAAAGCAGGGTAGGAAGTTCGGAATTACCTAATAGGCAGTAGTATGAGTCAATTCTTATTAATTCATTTAGGACTGAGCAACGAAGTTATGCTTCATTGCTTCATTCAGGATGTTGGACAGGATGAGAAACACTGAGAAAATGACCAGTTGGC